TCAAAGGCATCTATTCTCTCTCTCTCTCTCTCTCTCTCTCTCTCTCTGTGTGTGTGTGTATGTGTGTGTGTGTGTGTGTGTGTGTGTGTGTGTGTGTGTGTATGCATATACCCGTGTAAACTTGTGAGTGGAGATCAGAGGACAACCTCAGCTATCATTTCCCAGATGCCAATTCACTTGGGTTTTTTTGTTTTGTGGTTTTGTTTATTTGTTTTTAGTTAGGGTCCATCTGTGGCCTGGAACTTTCCAAATAGGTTAGTTTGCTGCATAGGGAGCCCTGGATACCTGGCTGAGTTCACTCCCACAGTGCTGGCATTACAAGCATGTGCCACCACGGCCAGGCTTTTTACTATGGGTTCTGGGATCACACTCAGGTTCTCTTGGTTGAAAAGTAAGCACTTTGCTGAGTGAACTATCAACCAACCCCTAACTGTTGAGACAGGATCTCATATAGCCCAGGCTGGTCTCAAATCCACTGTGTAGCCAAGGATTACCTTGAACGTGTAATCCTCCTGTTTCTCCTTCTGGAGTGCTGGGATTACAGAGATGTGCATGTCTGCAGTCCCAGCACCCAGCTTCGGTGGTGCTCCCCAGAGCTTCGTGCATTTGAGGTAAGCACTCTATAAAACCCAGACCTTTCCAGGAAATCTTCAAGGAGATCAAGTCATGGCTTGCTTCTAGGAGAGGCTGACAGTTTGAGAAAGGGTACAGTATGCTACTAAATCTCCACAAGGGAGCAGGTATGTCAAAGCGCACTCTCTGTTGATTTGGCACTTTGGACAGGAAGCCACTGCTTGCACAAGTAAGCCTGTAATGATCCATTCTTTCCAGCCAGCTCCAGCCCCTGCAGTCCATCACTGGAATGAAGCACTAGTTTAACTACTAGAGATGTCATCTAGTCATCTCTAAGTTGTGTCTTGAGGCCATAAATCTTGGCTGATGGCTACTGTGGTGGTTTTAAGGTTCACAAATACCAGAAACTTAGCTGAGGGACGGCAGTCTTTGAGAAAAAGAACTCAATTATCTTCCTTGAAAATTCTGTTTCCCTAGTCTAATTTAAAATCCAGGAGATTCCATAAATGATCGCTTCCATCAGTAATAGCTCCTGGGTTACTCTTACTTACTTAAAAATACATCAATCAAGAAGGTAATATTAGTGGTACATACACTTCCTGGTACCTTGATACCCAGGAAATAGGAACCGCAACCATTGGGCTCCTGAGGTTTGTAGCCAGGTCTGGGCATCGGCGCCTTTCCTAGCAGAAAGAAGGGAGAAAAGCAGAAAAAGTATTTAGAAGCCAAACAATTGACATTTACTCATCAAATAAAAATAACCTAAAAGTAGATTCTATTTTTTCTTTAAATGTCACTCTTGCCTTAAGATCTTCACATTAAATAGGTAGTGAGGAGGAGGTCACAAAATAATTCACTTTTCTATTCTACAGACTGAGCCATCTCTTTCAGATTGGGCCACACACCCCAATACAAAGCAGCGCACTGGGGCTTACACAGCGATAGACTTGGGATCGGAGCCATAGCCGTGCCATCAAAGGAGTTAATTTCTATTGAAGAAAGCCCAGGGGGGTCTCCTCAGGTACACCACAGAGCAAAGCAAGCACCTGATGCTCAGGAACTTTGTGGAAACAGGCCAGAGACTTTGACTTGTTCATGGGGCTTAAGAATCGCTTTACAGCCCGGGCGCAGTGGCACACACCTGTAATCCCAGGCGGAGGCAGGCAGATCTCTGTGAGTTCGAGGCCAGCCTGGTCTACAGAGTGAGTCCAGGACAGGCAATGTTACACAGAGAAACCGTGTCTCAAACAACAACAACAATAGAAAAGAATCGCTTTTTGATCTTGCAAAAGTATCAAAAGAAGCTGGTTCGGGTGTACAAAGGGTAAAGCAATCATCACATAACCTTGACCTGACTGCTTCCTGCTGTGACAGAAAAAGGAACCTCCCCCACATGCCCCTGTCTCCATGAGCTCTGCCAAGCCCTCCTTGACATGACACAGGGTGCATGCACACACATGCAAGCACACACACACACACACACACACACACACACACACACACACACACTTGCTGATCCTTCTGAGACCATGAGCCAAGATAAATCTTTAAACTGCTTCTCTGGGCATTTATGGCAAAGATGAAATGCAGTGCTTGAGGGGTAGATTTCTGGGTCCCATGATTACCTGGTGTTTAGTTTTTGAGGCACACCCCCTGGTTTCCTGCCATCTGTGCCACCTGCATTGTCAGCAGCAAGGCACACTTTTTACTTCTCACCCTCAACAGCCTGTCCTCAAGCAGGGGAACCCAGAAGCGGGCTCTCTTCTCCTGCCACCTGGGTCGGAAGACCTGGCTCCGTCTACTGCTGATACCTCTACTTCCCTTGCTCATCTGTTTAATGGATCCACTGAAGTTTTCTTTCAAATACTGTACTTTTTTATTTGAAGTCTATTGATTTCTTCCTTCAGATTTGTGCGTTCACTTTTTATTAGGTTTTGCTTATAAAACTGTTTTCAGATTTTTCAATAATTTAAAATATTATATTATTGATTTCAGGTCCTTGGGGTACTGATTCTCAGGTTGCTTTGGTTTTGTTTGGGGTTGGGTTTGGGGTCTTACCATATATAGCTCAGGCTGGCCTTGATCCCAGAGCACCCTTGCCTACCCCTGAGTGCTGGGTCCACAGCATGTGCCACCATAGTTGACCAAGTCTCATATTTTAAATGCTGATCAACTTTTTCACATGATAGATAATTGATATGGAATGTAATTTTTAGTAAAAATTCTCTTTTAAAAAATAAGATTATTTTAGGACAGGAGAGGTGGCTCAGTGGTGCAGAGCACACACCGGCATTGCAGAGGACCCAAATCACGTGGCTCACAACCATCTGTAACTCTAGCTCCAGGGGCTCCAACACCCTCTTTTGTCCTCCCTGGGCACTGCATTCAAAAGCACATACCTCACAAAGACACACACATACCTATCATTTAAAAATAAAATAAAATAAAAAGAGCTGGAGAGATGGCTCAGAGGTGAAGAGCACTGGCTGCCCTTCCAAAGGTCCTGAGTTCAGTTCCCAGCAACCACAGGGTGGCTCACAACCATCTATAGTGAGATCTGGTGCCCTCTTCTGGCATGCAGGTGTTCATGCAGACAAAATACTGTATATGTAATAAATAAGTCTTTAAAAACAAAATGAAAAACTCAAACTATTTATTTGGTTTTTAATTATTTGTATGGATGGGGCTCTGTGTGTGCCCCAGTTGCTGCCTGTGGAGCCCAGAGGTTTTGGACACTGCTGCCGATACAGGCAAGTGTGGGCACCTCATAAAGAGTTCTTTCTTTTATTTTATTTTTTTCTTCTCAGTTACATTTTATTAACTCTGTATCCCAGCCGTGTCCCGCTCCCTCATTCCCTCCCAATCCCACCCTCCCTCCCTCATCTCCACTGTGCCCCTTGCCAAGTCCACTGATGGGGGGGGGGGACCTCTTCCCCATTCATCTGATCCTGTTTTATCAGGTATCTTCAGGACTGGCTGCAAAGTCCTCCTCTGTGGCCTAACAGGACTGCTCCTCCCTTGGGGGGTGGGGAGGTCAAAGAGCCAGCCATTGAGTTCCTGTTAGAAATAGTCCTTGTTCCCCTCACTATGGGAAACCAATTAGTTACTGAGCTACCACAGGCTACATCTGAGCAGAGGTTCTAGGTTATATCCATACTTGGTCCTTGGTTGAATGACAGTCTCTGAGAAGACCCTGTGCCCAGATATATTTGGTCCTTGTGGAGCTCCTATCCTTTCCCCATCATACTAACTCCCCTTCTTTCATATGATTCCCTGCACTCTGCCGAAGGTTTGGTCATGAGTCTTTGTATCTGCTTTGAAAACACTGCTAGTTAGTCTTTCAGATGCACTCAGTAGACTCCTGTCATATGTTCAATGCATATCCCATCTGTCTTTCTAAGCGAGAATTGATCATCTTACCCCATGTCCTCTCTCTTGATAATCTTTTTAGGTGTATAGATTTCATTATGTTTGTCATATTTTATAGGTCTATATAAGTGAGTATATACCGTGTTTGTCTTTCTCCTACTGGGATATTTCACTCAGAATGATCTTTTCTAGATCCCACCATTTGCCTGCAAATTTCATGATTTCCTCCTTTTTGATTGCTGAGTAGTATTCCATTGTGTAAAAATACCACAATTTCTGTACCCATTCCTCCGTTGATGGACATCTGGGTTGTTTCCAGGTTCTGGTTATTACAAATAAAGCTGCTATAAACATGGTTGAGCAAGTATACCTTTTGTGTACTTGAGCAAAGTTTGGATATATACCTAGCAGTGGTATAGCTGGGTCTTGAGGAAGCACTATTCCTAATTGTCTTAGAAAGTGCCAAATAGATTTCCAGAGTGGTTGTACAAGTTTACATTCCCACCAGCAGTGGAGGAGGGTTCCCCTTTCTCTACAACCTCTCCAGCATGTGTTGTCACTTGAGTTTTTCATCTTGGCCATTCTGATGGGTGTAAGGTGAAATCTCAGGGTCGTTTTGATTTGCATTTCCCTGATGGCTAATGAGGTTGAGCATTTCTTTAAGTGTTTCTCTGCCATTTGATATTCCTCTGTCGAGAATTCTCTGTTTAGCTCTGTTCCCCATTTTTTAATTGGATTACTTGGTTTGCTGCTTTTCAGCTTCTTTAGTTCTTTGTATATACTGGATATGAGTCCTCTGTCAGATAAAGGGTTGGTGAAGATTCTTTCCCAATCTGTAGGCAGTCATTTTGTTTTGATGACGGTGTCCTTTGCTTTACAGAAGCTTTTCAGTTTCATGAGGTCCCATTTATTGATTGTTGCTCTTAGCGCCTGTGCTGTTGGTTTTCTGTTCAGGAAGTTGTCTCCTGTGCCAATGAGTTCTAGGCTGTTCCCCACTTTTTCTTCTAACAGATTTAGGGTATCTGGTTTTATGTTGAGTTTTTTGATCCACTTGGACTTTAGTTTTGTGCAGGGTGGTAAATATGGATCTATTTTCAGTTTTCTGCATGTGGACATCCAGTTGAACCAGCACCATTTGTTGAAGATGCTATCTGTTTTCCATTGAATGGTTTTGGCTTCTTTGTCAAAAATCAAGTATTCATAGGCGTGTGGGTTTATTTCTGGGTCTTCTATGCGGTTCCATTGATCCTCCTTTCTGCTTTTCATAAAGAGTTCTTACATACTGCGCCAGCTCCCTGCACCAGTCCTCATGTCCTGGCTACAGAGAAGCCATTGCTTTTGGCAGTGGCTGTTCTAGAACTATCCCAGGGCCTTGTACACTGTACATGTGTGCTCTGTCACTGGTCATGCACCCTCCCGCCAGCGCTTCCGCTGGGCTGAGAGTCCCAGGCTGACGTAGTTCCTAAGGTCCTGCTCTGCTCTGCTCTGCTCTGCTTTCCTCAGCTGCAGCTGGACACAGGCGAGTTCTGCTCATTCCCTGTGTATGAAGTGTGCTGGGCTGGGCATGTTTCACCTTCAGCACTGGTGGATGAAAGCATCTTGCTTCTTCCTTGTAATATGAAGTTGAGTACTACTCTGCGTGTGTGTGTGTGTGTGTGTGTGTGTGTGTGTGTGTGTGTGTGTGTGTGTGATATGTGTGGTGTGTGTATGTGCAGTGTGTGTGTATACAATGTGCATGTGTGTTGTGTGTGGTATATGTATGTGGAAATATGTCTTTGTGTGGTGTGTAGTGGTCTGTAGTGTTTGCTACGTTTTTGGTATGTGTGTGCTATCACCTTCTCATATTATCTTATCATCCAGCCGTGTGTGAGAGTGTGTGTGTGTAAGAAAGGAGCGAGTGTGAGTGAGCATAGTGAGCATTGTGGGAGAGTGTGAATGTGAGTGGGTGTATGTGAATGAATGTGTGCGTGAGTGTGAGTGTGTGCTTGTGTACTGCAGTGGGGAACAGAGTCAGACACTAATTGAGTATGCATGCCTGGTGCTCCTGGAAACCAGAGGAGGGTGTCAGATACTTATGAACACCACGTGGGGGGCTGGGAATTGAACCCCGGTCTTAAGCACTGAGCCACGGCCCCAGTGAAATACCGTCTCAGTAAGGGCTGGAGGCGACTGCTGCAGACTCCCAGGTCACCTCTGGTCTTTGTACTTAGGAAATCACGGAGAGACCCTCTGCGTGCAGCGCCGCAGCTGCAGGGCTGTTTGCTGCAGGAAGCTGCTTCACCGTCTGGCGGAAGAGACAGTGGACTCCACAGAGATGACCGACCTGCCTCCACTGTCGTGCACGGCTTTGATACTCTGCATATGCAACATGCCACACTGCAGGTGGATTTATTTCCGGGTGCGGCTGACCATTTGAAACTGTAGTTTAGCTGGCAAATGGTGGCTCCCCTCACTGCCAGCCTTTTGTAGCCTTGCCAACTAGAAATGGGCCTCATCTGTTTTAACGATCAGGGGAGGGAATCAAAACAAGAGTAATATTTTATGACATGAGAATATTATATGAAATTCAACTTTTAGTGCCCATAAAGAAGTTTTATTGGGCCACAGCCATACTCATTTGTTATGCATTAGCTGTGGCTGTTTTCATGCGAGAAGAAATCACAGCTTGTTGCTACAATCTTGAACTGGGGATGCTTTTCTAATCAAGATGTAAAAGACAGAGGTCATAAAGAAAGGGACTGACAAATTTGTTCTCATAAAATGTAAAACCTTCTAAACAAAGTTAACCCATAAAACACTTGTGAGACATCAAGATGGAGGTTCTGGAAAGACTCAGCATGATGCCCAACAATGCTGCCTCCAGCCACGGGTGTCTTGTGCTCTTGACCAGCCTTTCTCCTCTCTCATTGTTGTCACTAAAGAGATCGGGAGAAGGTTGTGCCACCGATCAGGGGTCTGAATGTCTCCTGAAGAGGGTGAAGCTTTGTCACCCAGCTGCTTCCCCTGAGTGGCCATAGTGCACATATGCCTGGCAACCTCCAGGAATGCCCAAATGAGCAGCACACTGATTTGGAGGCAGCAAAATAGCACCCATTTCATCAACACAATAGACTTTTCATGTCAAGCACTAACATGAATTAAGTTGCCTCTTGATTCACTTGGTTTTCCTGGTATGATTCTGTTTAAATATCAAAAGTCCCAGATCCCTGGACCCCTTTCTTCTTCAGCAAATTGGGAGAATCATCACCCTATCACTGAAGCAACTTGTTGGCTCCTAAATCTGTAGGTATTTCCCTTTTCATGGGCTTCTGAGAATCCAATGATGGTTGTAAGAACATCCTTTGCTGGGAAAACAGGCAAACTCACAAGTATGTGAAGTTTTTCTACGAAATTTCAGACAGATAAAATGTCTCTAAAAAATAAAAACTGATGGGGCTTGGGATGGAGGTCAGCCGGTGGAGGGCTTGAAGACATGAATCCTTGCGTTTGAGCCCAGATTTAAGTAAACCTGACATGGTGCCATATGTTTATGGTCTCAGTCCCCAGGGGGTGGAGGCAAGAGGGTCAAAAGTTCAAGGTCATCTTTGGCCACATAGAAAGTTTGAGGCTAGCCTGGGTTATAGGAGACATTGTCTCAAATGGTTTTAAAAGGTAGATATTTGCTAGGGTGGAAAATGTTTGAACATAAAAAGGAGCAATGACAGAGCAGAAACAATGGAGAGACAGAGAGTATTCGCAAACTATGCTATAAAGAGCTGATATCCAACATACAAAGAGGAGCAATAGCATAGGAACAAACAGACTTTAGAATGGCCAAAGATGTTTCTTGGGGGTGCATGCCTTTAATCCCAGCACTCAGGTGACAGAGGCAGGCAGATCTCTGAGTTTGAGGTTAGCCTGGTCTACTGAGTGAGTTCCAGGACAGCCAGCGCTACACAGAGTAGCCCTGTCTTGAAAAACTAAACAAACAAACAAAAAAAATTTGATGTTTCTCAAAAGAAGACAATCAGGGGACTAAGCACTCCCATGGCAGCTTACGACTGGATGTAATTCAACTTCCAGGAATTTCAGTGCCCTCTTCTGGCCTCACAGACACCAGACACACACATGATACACATTCATACTGCAGGCAAAATGCCCACACACATAAAATTGAAAAAATAAATAAATCAAAAAAGTGGTTTGAAGGAGCCAAACAAGTGATTGGTGGACATAAAGAGATGCATCCCTGTTGCCAGGGAGATAGAAATGGAGACCCTTGCCGGAATGGCAAAAGGGAACTCACACCCCAAGGATGGAAAAGCCAGTGAGTGTGGCCAGTTAGAAAAGCACTATGGAGGCTCTTCAGAAAAGTAAAAAGAAAATTATAACTGCTATGCAGTCCAGCCATCCTGCTTCTGATATATATCCAGCAGAACTAACCATGTTGAAAAGACATCTATACTCTCTTGCTCACTGCAGCATTATTTGACACATGGAAGTAACCCAAATACATATCAACATGCGTAAAGGAGCATGTGAGCACACAGTGGAATGCTAGGTCACTTACGGAGGGAACCCTGTCCTTCTGGAGCTGGAAATCACTGCAGTGGGGGGATAAATCAGAAAAAAAACCATGTTATAGGATCTCAAATGTGGAACCTAAAAAAGAAAAGTCAGTTTCATAAAAATGGTAGAAAGGCTGGGAGGAGAAGGAAATGGGGAAAGGGGGATCTTGGTCAAAGGGCCCATTTTTGATGGAAGAAATATGTTTTAGTAATCAACGGTACTGATGATTGTAGCTAATGATAATATACTATATATTTCTATTATGATTTTAACCTAAATGATCCATGGGGACTGGGAAGATGCCTCAGTGGGTGAGAATACACACGTGATGCTTGGTGTGCAGCATCAGGACCTGAGGTCAAATCTGTAGCATCTATGTAAAAAGCTGGGCATGGCTCAGGCACCTGTAGCTCCAAGGCTCTACGAATACAGAGACAGGGTGGCTGGTACTTTCTGGCTGCCAGCCTAACTCTAGGTTCAGTGAGAGACCCCATCTCAGGGAACAAGGTGAAGCGTAATAATTCCAGACACAGATGCCCTCCTCTGGCCTCCATGTACACACACACACACACACACACACACACACACACACACACACACACACCTCCCCACGGGTTTTTATTTTGAGTGTTAGTTTTCTGGCTGGTGATTCTGTTTTGGGAAGCTGAGGAACACTAAGAGATAGGGTCTGCACGGCAGCAGTAGCTGTCCAGGGCCAGCTACACTCAGGCTACACTCAGCCTGGAAACTCTGCTTCCCAATATTGTTTGCCAAGGCAGCCTCCACTTCAAGCTCCCTCTGCCCCCATTCCTTCCTCAGCCTTCCGTTCCTAACAGAGACACTCTGAAACCCTGAGCCAACATAAGCCCTTCCTCCCCTAAATTATTTCTAGCAAGTGTCAGAGCTGGGAGAAAAGTAACCAATCTTAAAACTGCTAAAAGAAACACACACACACACACACACACACACACACACACACACACACGGGATATAGTGAAAGGCACTGCATTCGGCACTCAGCTGTTGAACCTTTCCATAACAGATGAAAGCATCAGGTTTTCTTAATAAACACCCACTATTACTCTTGTTGAGTTAAAATCTTTAAAAAGATTGATGTTTAAGCATCCTTTGGGGGAGGTGGGTTGAGAGGGGTCCTCATTATGTAGCCTGGAACTCAAATGTCTCAGCCTTCCCAGTAGCTGGGATCACAGTCTTAAGGCAATGCCTTTTCCACAAACAGACGGGAAGCTGGCTGGTCCCTCCAGTCAGAGGATGCCCAACCAAAATTTGCTGACATCTTTTGAGGCCCCTTTGCTAGAGAAGGAAGAACAGGGTTGGGTTCACCATTATACCAGAAGCCCTACTGTTAGATGTTTGCTAAACCTTGGGTATCAGTGATAATATCTGTGTTGATTTAAATGGCAAACCCTTTCCTGCCACCTCAGTAGAAACTAGTCAGGCTTAATGCGGGGACCTGGCCTCCTGTTTTTCCATCTAACTTCGGGTAAATATGAGGCTGAGGGGCCCAGAATTTGACCCCATGACATTTTTACATTGAGCTGCAGCAGCCTTTTGCATTTTCCCCAGTGATGTCAAGCCTGCTGGGAACAGTGGTTTAACCATTATCTCCTGGTTGGAGATAATGTACATAAGAAAGCCATTTTCCTCTCCACAAAGATGAGGGCCAGAGGTCTAAGTCATCCAGCATGTTCTGAATGTCTCTGGAAAGCCAGGTTTTGTCTGCTGAGAAAATATTTCCCAAGCTAAGAAGGCTAACATTTCACTTGTGAGCCTACTGTCACTCCAGGCTCCTCACAGAAATTAGTTGACTGCTTGGATTTCCGGTGTCACTACATCTGATTTGCTGTCTGGCAATCTGTAGGTCAGATGTGACCTGCAGGGCTGCCAGTGACTCTCCCCTCCCCCCAAGAGGAGGCACCCACTCACCATATCGGCACCGGTACTGACAGATTCCATTCTTCCCTCCCAGCAGCTCCATGAAGGAATCAACGTAGCTGTTGACCGACTCAAAGCTGCCCCGCAGGTGCCTCAGACCCCAATCCGAGTAGGACTCCTCTCCCTTGGGGCTGGGGTCGCTCTGAGCCAAGCTGCCTACCAGGCCAAGCCACAGGAGGAAGAGGCCACAAGGCAGCTTCATCCTGCACACAAGTGGGACGCCGCTTTCGACCCCAACCCCGGCCCAGGAAGCCCGGGGACACACACAGCCCCGTTCCGGGGCTTACCGGAACTCTCAGTCCCTGTTCCCGGGAGGTGGACTTTAAACACAGCCATGGAGGCCGGGAGCTGATCAGAGCGATTAGAGAGGACAAAGGTGAGACCGTGGGAGGGCTTGTGTGAGGATGGCCCAAGAGGGGCCTTCCCAGTGGACCCCGAAGCGCTGGAGGAATGGCTGCACTGTGGGAGTTGGGGAAGGGAGCCCTGGATTCCTCTGCCCACTTGGGATCCTCAGGCTTGTTGACTGCAGAGCTTGTCCCAGGATCCCAGCCACACCCCTGAGCTGCTTCCTCCTCTGCGAGGTGCTGGGGAGGCTCAGGCTCAGGCGGCCTAACTGGGCTCCCCTTAACCAACAATCAGGTTATCAGAGCCTAAACTCCACAGTGTTCCTCGGTGAGCATTCAGGTTCTGAGCACAGTTTCTGCCTACTTCCCTCTTTGTTTACCTCCATCTGGTAAAGGCCCTGATTTCCTCCCAGGGATGAATTGGTTCTGAATCTGTAGAGTATCTGTTTACACTCAGTGCTGCATCAGATCTGAGGCCTGTAAGGTGGCCCTGGGTCTCTTCTGGGAACACTCAGCTAACTGAGTGCTAACTTTTTTTTCCTTTGAGGCACATACAAGTCCAGGCTATTATCAGAAAGCCTGTTTGAGATTCCAAGCTTTGAGGCTGCGCGCTGGAGTTTAGTGTTGGAGCATCACTTTGAGAGTAGTTTGCTCTTGGTCGTGCGGAGAAATACCTATAAAACCATCAGTCTGGAAAACGACACCACTGGGGACCGAGTGATCACTCAGCTGCTTTCTTAGACGTCATGAAAGCCATGTAGAAAATATTAACTATAATTTTAATATAAAATATTAAACAGTAAATACAAAACATCCTCGTTTTAGATAAGAAATATGTTTGTCTAAAGATTTAAAAGTCCAGGAAGGGTAGTGGTTAAAATGCATTTCCAGTGTGCACTGTTATTGTGTGAATTAAAAAAAGAAACCGGTACCAACACTACCCAGTATTACACATTCTGAACGAGTCTGTCTCTATCTCTCCCTGTCTCTCTGATTTTCTTACTGTTTCTCTGTGTCTCTCTGTCTCCCTTTCTCTTTCTCTGTCTCTCTCCCTCCCTCCATACCTATTCTATTAGGCAAGATTGATATCATTTCTATATGAGGCATAAGAGATCACACAAGGTTGAATGACTTCATTATGTTGGACCACAGCCAGTGACATAATGATAAGATTATATCAAAACAAAACCATGGAAATCTTTTCTCAGAAAGTGAGAAAAACTGGGGGCACAGCTCAGTAGAGGGCTACTTGCCTAGTGCCCCTAACTAAGAAAAGGTGTCATGAAAAAGTGATAAATACCAAGATTTTGGGAACGATTTTATAACTTGTTATTTTGGTTAAGTGTGTTCAGGTGTTTGGGGTGTGGATGTGTTTATGAGTACAGCAGTCTGCAGAGGCCAGAGGAGCCCCGGAGCTGGAGGGCGGGGCTCACCTGACAGGTGTCAGGAACTGAACTCGGGTGCCTGGAAAAGCAGTATGGTCTCTTAACTACTAAGTCCTGATTTTCTTTTCTCCTTAAAAAAAGTCTTCTTATCAAGTGAAAGACCTGTTTGAAAAAAACTTCAAGTCTCTGAAGAAAGAATTGAAGAAGATATCAGAAGATGGAAAGATCTCCCATGCTCATGGCTTGGCAGGATTAACATAGTGAAAATGGCCATCTTACCAAAAGCAATCTAAAGATTCAATGAAATTCCCATCAAAATACCAACACAATTCTTTACAGACTTTGAAAGAAAAATTCTCAACTTCATATGGAATAACAAGAAACCCAGAATTGCTAAAACAATCCTCTACAATAAAAGATCTTCTGAAGGTGTCTCTATTCCTGATCTCAAGCTGTATTATAGAGAAACAGTTATAAAAACTGCATGGTACTGGCATAGAAACAGAATGGTGGATCAATGGAATAGAATAGAAAACCCAGAAATAAACCCACACACTTATGGATACTTGATTTTTGACAAAGAAGGCAAAACTATACAATGGAAAAAAAGATAGCATCTTCAACAAATGGTGCTGGTCTAACTGGATGTCTACATGCAGAAAAATGCAAATAGATCCATACTTATCACCCTGCACAAAACTAAAGTCCAAGTGGCTCAAAGACATCAATATAAAACTAAATACACTAAACCTGTTAGAAGAAAAAGTAGGGAAGAGCCTTGAACTCATTGGCACAGGAAACAACTTCGTGAACAGAGCACCAACAGCACAGGCTCTAAGATCAACAATCAATAAATGGGACCTCAGGAAACTGAAAAGCTTCTGTAAAGCAAAGGACACTGTCATCAGAACAAAACAGCAGCCTACAGACTGGGAAAGGGTCTTTCTTTACCAACCCTACATCTGACAGAGGGCTAATATCCAGAATATATAACAAACTCAAGAAGTTAAACAGCAAAAAATCAAGTAATCCAATTTTAAAATGGGGTACAGAGCTAAATAGAGAATCCTCAATAGAGAAATATTGAATGGCAGGAAAACACTTAAAGAAATGCTCAATTTTCTTAGTCATCAGGGAACTACAAATCAAACGACCCTGAGATTTCACCTTACACCCATCAGAATGGTTAAGATGAATAACTCAAGTGGCAAAACATGCTGGAGAGGTTGTGGAGAAAGGGGAACCTTCTTCCATTGCTGGTGGGAATGTAAACTTGTACAACCACTTTGGAAATAAATTTGGTGCTTTCCCAGACAATTAGAAATAGTGCTACCTCAAGATCCAGCTATACCACTCCTGGGTATATATCCAAAAGATGCTCAAGTATACAACAAAGACATTTGCTCAACCATGTTCATAGCACCTTTTTTGTAATAGCCAGAATCTGGAAACAACCCAGATGTCCTTCAACTGAGGAATGGATACAGAAAATGTGGTACATTTACACAATGGAATACTACTCATCAAGTAAAAACAAGGAATCATGAAATTTGCAGTCAAATGGTGGGAACTAGAAAAGATCATCCTGAGGGAATTATCCCAGAAGCAGAAAGAGACGCATGGTATATACTCACTTATAAGTGGATATTAGACATAATATAGTATAATCATACTAAAATCTGTACACCTAAAGAAGCTAAGCAAGAAGGAGGATTCTGGGTAAGATGATCAATCTTCATTCAGAAAGGCAAAGGCTGCCTCGGAAGAAGGAAAAAACAGGGAATAGGACAGGAGCCTACCAGAGACCTCCAAAAGATTCTACCCAGAAGGGTATTAAAGCAGATGCTGAGACTCATAACCAAACTTTGGGCAGAGTGCAGGAAATCTTATGAAAGAAGGGGGAAATAGAAAGACCTGGAGAGGACAGGAGCTCCACAAGGAGAGCAACAGAAGCAGAAAATCTAGGCACAGAGGTCTTTTCTGAGACTGATTCTCCAACCAAGGACCATGCATGGAGATAACATAGAACCCCTGCACAGATGTGGCCCATGGCAGCTCAGTGTCCATGTGGGTTCCCTTGGAGACTGAGTAAGGGGAACAGGGACTGTCTTTGACATGAACTGGGTGGCTGGCTCTTTGATCACCTCCCTTGAGGGTAGAACACCCTTACCAGGCCACAGAGGTAGACAATGCAGCCAATCCTGATGAGATCTGATAGGCTAGGGTCAGATGGAAGGGGAGGAAGTCCTCCACTATCAGTGGACTGGGGAAGGGGCAAAGGAGGAGAAGAGAAAGAGTGGGTGGGATCGGGAAGGGACAAAGGAGGGGGCTACAGCTGGGATATAAAATTAATAAATTGTAATTAATAAAAAATAAATTAATTTTTTAAAATGTCTGCCTCTGCCAGGTGGTGGTGGTGCATGCCTTTAATCCCAGCACTCAGTGAACAGAGGCAAGTGGATTTCTGAATTTGAGGCCATCCTGATATACAGAGTGATCCAGGACAGCCAGGGCTACACAGAGAAACCCTGTCTCAAAAAAAAAAAAAAGTTTGCTTATTTTTAAATGTAATAATAGTGCTAGTGAAACATGAGTAACTTATATGTCATAATATTATATACAATTGATATTTTAATAATATATGCTATGTTATGAGATTTTTTACTTTTCTGAAAATCATTTAAGTCACCAAAGCTTAGACTTTCCACTGCTTCAGTTTCAATATAGCTGAAAGTAATTCCAGTTTCTCTGGACACAAGTTATTCTGTATGTTAGTTTTAGTGTCAAGTAGAATTTTTATTTTTAGCTTATGCAATTGTTAGTGACACTGTTGATAGCATTTTTTCTTCAGCTTTTTTTATCTAAATTTGAGGGGAGAAAACACATTTAGGATTTTAACTATTTTGAGGATGTAATGCATGAAACTAAGGATATTAATGTGCGATGTGACCAGCACCAGGACCATCTCCAAAGGTTTTTTAATCCTAAACTGAGAATTCTCCACATGCAGTTTCCTGTCACCTCTGCCTCTGTCTTCCTAATTACATTGGCGGGTCTTGGTACATCAGAGAAATGGAACCCTGCAATGTGTCCTTTTGGATTGGCTTCTTTCAACTTAGCGTGGTGGATTCAAGCCTGCCTGTGCAGCATCTGCCTCCGAACAGTGAACGAAGCTGGATGAGCGCTGGTGTAGATTCTTGAGTTCCTGCCTCCCAACCTTTTGAGGTGTGGGTCTGGAATTAAATTTTCTGGATATGTTAATTTTATTTAGCCTTTTGAAGATCCAGGCCTTCATTTGTGGCTGTACAGATACAGTGAGACTGGACAGTTTTTATTTCTCCATATCTTTCTAAAAATTTACTCTTTGACGGTTTTAAACATGTATGTGGTACATTATCATCACTCTTATCCCCCTCCTCCTCCTTTCATCTTCCTACCAAATCACCATCCTCCTTTCTTGTCTTTCTGACTTTGTTTTGAGAGACACCACTGCCTGATTCATTGAAGTCTTTAAAATTATAAATCTCTAATTTATAAATTAGCTGTTAGTGTAGTAGATTTCCACATGGCTTTTT